CTGAGATCCAGGTCCGGAATGGTGAAAATGTGCGATTTCAATGCATTTTCGGCCTTAAAGCGGCCGCCATTTGGCTATCGTTAATGAGATCATGAAACAAATGCACATACATATTTGTGACATGATGTACCTTGTGTGTGTGAAGTTTGAACTCGATCAATCCAAGCATGTCTCAGATACGGATCCAGAACTGAATTCTTTAAAACAAAATGGCCGCCAGTCGGCCATTTCGAACCCGATCCAAAAAAAAAAAAATGACGTGCATCAAGGTCCTATTATGTTTAATGTATGTACCAAATTTGAACAAAATCCGTCCATGCATAACTGAGATCCGGGTCCGGAATGGTGAAAATGTGCGATTTTGATGCATTTTCGGCCTTAAAATGGCCGCTATTCGGCTATCGTTAATCGGATCATGAAAAAAATGCATGTGCATATGTCCCATATAAGGTGTGATGTATGAGTGAAGTTTGAACTTAATCGGTCCATGCATGTTCGAGATACAGGTGATCACGGACGCACGGACGCACGGACGCACGGACGGACGGACGCACACAGGGCAAAACATAAGTCCCCGTTTTCGGACTGCGTCCGAACGGGGACTAATAAGTGACAACATATAAGTTAACATTTGTACCAAATGAATGATGAATACATAAAAACACACAAGTGCAAGGCATCATTGCCCTGGCAAAATACCTGCAAGTCGTTTTTTTCGTTTTAGTTGAATATCTTTTTTCCATGTCGGTAGGTTAGTACTAAGCCCAGGTGACATGACTTCTGGATCTAAAGAACCTATCAATTCATAAAATAAACCCAGAGAGAATGAAGACAAAAGACAGAGATAGAATTTTAAAATAGTGAAATATCAACACAACAGATCAAAGATGATAAAGATACAATAACAGTTAATAACATTAGTATAAGCATACAACGAGCACAGAGCAAAATGAATGAAACATGAGAATTAGCATCACAATGGAATGGGAGAAGGTACAGGGAAGGAGAGGGATGGGAGAAAGCTAGGATTACAGGAGAGAGAGAAAACATTCATATTTTTGATTTTTAAAATTCAGCCATGTAATGTATCAGTACCAGCCAGCAAACAAACATGCACATTATGAAACCAAATTTATAACACTTTGCATCAACAAACCTAACAACCTTAAAATGATTGGCTGATGTTCAATGAACATATTTAACTGTACACACCACTCTGTGTATAGCAATATTTAACTGTACACACCACTCTGTATAGCAATATTACTGCATATATTAAAGCTGTGTTGTAGGCAAGCTGAAAGCCCTTCCAATCTTGAGTAACTTGGCCAAAACTGAAATCTAAAATCATACTGCATTCTCAAAATATACTGATTCAAAGCTGATTTTATTTTATTTTGTGTTGTTTATTGTTATTACTTTACTACAATAAATGCTCTCATACATTCCACAGTAAAATAGTTGTTCTATCAAATCAAAATAAGGGTTATAATGGAAATAACGTGTGTGCATCTTGGTGGGAAATGTTTCACATTGAATACTGATTTTGTATTATAGTTCATCAAACAGAGATTCCAGCGAGCGGTTCTATGATGTGTGACACCCTAAGATTCTGAAAATTCAGTTACAACTGAAACCATGGAACTACTTGGTGATGTTTGACTATTTGCAAATACTGTTATAGCAGTTTCAGTACACATGTTACAATACAACTTGGCAATTTACAATACCAGAAACACATCAAATAACAACAATACACACAACACAACACAACAAACCAAACCAAACTAACTCAAGGTAACATATTGCTTTTATTTGTAAAGTCAATCTTTCAATAACCAAGCCCTGGGTGACATTTTTTGCAAAAAGAACTTTTGTAGCATATGCATACAGTATCTGCTCTATTAGAAAGGTATTAAATTAAGGTTTTTTAAATATATATCAACTTAAACAAAACTATCAATCAGACAACAGGTTCATTTATGAAAGAAGTTGATGAGATAATTTGTCTTGTTATTCAAATTAAATCTCATTACATACTGCTTAGTGATGTGGCTTTGCAGTTATCACTACACTTACCTTTGCTAGGAGAATCCTTATTTGCTGTCATACACAAGTTTTTCATCCATGCTGGCTTATCAGGAGTTGTTGGATTACTATCTTTTGAAGAGCTTTTTATAATGATGTCTGATTTTCTTCTTCTTTGCATCAGTTCTTTCTTCCACACCGGGATGTCTGCTTCTTTGTCAACTATAACAGGCTGTGAAAAAATAGCTAATTGTTACCTTGTTCCAGAATGGCAGATATGCTTGATTTTAATGAATTTTCAACATTAAAATGGCTGCCATTCATCCATTTTGAATCATATTCCAAGATGCATGAAGCATGTATAAAGTTTAAACGAGTGCATGCACATTCGCTCTGATACACATATAGAGGTCAAAACATAAGTCCTCATTTTCAAACTATTATTTATTATTATATTATTTTGATGAAATTATCACTGCGATATTTGCTCATTTCCATGCAAACTTACACTACTTGTCTCCAAACTACTCATACTCTGTCTTTGCTTTCTCCGTTTAGCAGCTTCTTTCTTCCAGGCAGGTTCATTGTCTTCCTTATCTTCCACTAAGTACTTGTCCAAAGTGCTGGTTTTATTTGTCTTTTTCTTGGCTGCAAGGTCCAGCTGCCACTGCGGCAGTGTCGTCTTCATTGGTGTTGATGGGTCTTTTTTGGCTGGAATAATCACAGGAGTAGTCTTTTTACCTATAAATACAAGGTAATATTAGAAACACACAAGCACAGCTAGTGGTAATTAACAAATCTACCGTACTGAACCACGTTAGTGCCCATGCTCAGTCAAGCGTCCACCCCCAACTTTTGCAAAATTTTTATATTCAGGGTCACATTCGGCAAAGCGCCCACCCCTTCAAAATGCCACTAATTTAAAATGCGGTCTTTGATCATTTCTTAACGAATACTGGAATTCGTTTTTATACGATACAGCATGGATATCAACCACCGTTGTGCATGTGTAGACCATGGTAACCATGGTAACCATGCGTAAACTACAGTTTGACAATGTTAATGAATGAAATGTTAATGTTAATGAAAGTAAAATGCCATAATCAGTTGCTAGTCACCAGTTTTTTGAAAAAAACGTGTCGTTTATTCGCCAAAGTCAATTCCAACAGATCGTACTTCAATATCAATAATTCACTTCAGCATTGCGCTACCAGAAAGTCTTCGTGAATTTCCAAAGAATTGCGTCAGTACAACACAGCATTCTGATTGTTTAATAACAGACTTGACCCATTTGGTCAAAGGACGATGTGGCTGGTCAAATCATGCAAATACATCAAGGCAGAAAGTGTTTTCCATCAAGCATTTGCATTCGATCCAACACATTCATCGTTGGAGATAATGATGAAGATTTTGACTTTGACTGTGTTCCAACAGACTATTATTTTTTAATCTCGTAAATTCTGGTGGTACCTAATTAATATTGTAATAAAATGTGCATATTTGTTGTGACCATTTCTGTTTCTTCATTGTAAAAGTCAAAGTTATTTTCCCTCAAAGATGCAAGGCCTCCCTCAATTTGTCACATGGCGAATCCAAATTGTCATTTACACTCTTTTCCGAGGGGGTGCTCAGGTAAGAGGACCCTGGGTGCTAACATGGTCCAGTACGGTATATGAATAAAAGAGAACAACCAATAAGATGGTCAAAATGCAATGTATGATTGCATGAATGGGAAAATGATAAAGTACTTACCAGTACTTAAAGATTCTTGTCTACGTTTAGCTAGTTCCTGTTTCCACTGAGGTATACCTTTTGGTGTACTCAGCTCTTTGTTGTCTTCAGTATATTTGGGTGACAAAACTTGTTTTTCTCTGGAAGACATCACTTGGGATTCAGTGGGAGACGACATTTCCGAATTTGAAGGCGATGCTATTTTGGGTTCTGATGGTGACAGTATCCTTGGTGACAGTGGTTTTGGTCTAAAACAAAGGCATTATGCATATTCATTTTACAATATAAGAGTGTAACCAGTCAGAGAATATCTTATATACTGAGTTTGACGTAACATATAAATATTCATTTTACATTCCGAGTATTGAAATACCTACATAATTGGTGGTAGTTTTCTTGTTAACTTTGTGTCTGTTGAAGAAAATCCATTTACTTCAATATCACTGTGCACACTCTTTGAATTGTCTTTACCATCATCTGTCTTCTCATCTAACTTTGCCCGGTTGGCTCTCTGTTTGGCCCTGGCTTCTTGCAACCATGAGGGACCAGCTGAATTGTCCTGTATTGATGGGGTTGTACTTTTCTCTAAAGGTTTTAGCGATGCCCGTGGGGATATCAACTGATAGTTGTAATAAAAAAATGATGTCAATAATTGCTTACAATGGATTACTACCATGGATGGTTTGTCAGTACAGAATACTGTTAAGACATCAGCAGATTTGTTAATCAAACAAGGTTTCAATGTCAAGCAAAATATGTGAAACAGAAAACAATAGCTACATACACTTGTCTCGTATCAAGACATAATAGGCTATAGAGAGAATATGATGGCTCAGTTAAAGTGTTTTCAATTTAAACTTATTATATTTACTTTAATATATATAGAATTATGATTCTGTATATCTATGCATGTTTTATAAAAGACAAGGTCCTTTATATGTTAAATATAAAAATAAAATTATTTTATAATAGTATTTTAAAAATAGTGAAGTTGCATCACCTTAGTTTCTGTCATCCATGATGGAGATTTGAGTTCCTCTGAGTTCTTCTTCACAGTAACCTCTTTTCCTGGTCCCTTCTCTTCATTGCTAATCGTCTCTGTTTTCAAACTTTTTGGAAACTTCACACTTTTCTCAATAACTAAAACTTCTTTCGTTTTCTCCTCTTTTGTAAATTTTTCTTTATGCTCTTCATCATCAAGAGTTCTCAATTTTGTTGTAGCTATATTTTCTTTTTCTTTCTCCTCCTTTTCGATTTCTCCATTATGTTCAATTTTCACTATTTTCTTAACATCATCAGTTGTTTTCTTTTCTGAAAATTTATTCTGTTTTTCGATAATTAATTTATCTTCTTTATCATCTTCAATTTTCTGACTAATATTTTCCTCATCCTCAAGATCTGCCAAAAATACTTCATTTTCCTTTGGCTCATCTATTTCTTTTTCATTCGCGTATTTTTCTGTTTCAGCTTTGTTTTCTCTCTCCTTTTCATCTTCTGTATCAACTATTTTTAAAATGTTAAATTCTTTCTTGGGTAGTACATCCTTCTCTAATTCCATAGTTTTAATGATGTTTACTTCCACTGGTGACTGAATTTCTCTAGTCTCTTCTTTAGTTGATGAATTTTTAAAAATCCTTTTTTCTTCTATTGTTAAAGTTTTTTTTTCTTTATTGCAAATTTCTTCAGGTGTCGAATTATGTTCAATTTGAGCTTTTTCTTTTGGTGGTGAATGTTGCTCCTTCTGTTCATTTCCTTTCTCTTCTTTCTTTTCAATGGTTTCTTGGCTGTCAACTGGTGGTAATACAATTTTGAGGGAATGTATTGAACTATCAACCTCAGTTGAGTTAACATCTGTTTCTTTCTTTTTTTCTGGCATGGGTGGTTTTTTCAATGGCTTCAGTGGTTTGGGGGGTGGATCACGTTTCTGATGAAAAAAAAAAGAAACAATAATAAAATAGAAGTGCCTAAATTAGAATGTTATCTTGATGTAAAAAGACAGTAAAGTGCTTACCTTAGATGTATTCATAGCAGGATGTGGTGAATGTATAGATGACAACAGCACATTAGATGATCCTGTTGGTGAACACAGTGGACTCAGCTGATTTGGTTTATCATGTTCTTTAGATGTCTTCTCATTGGTTTTCTCCACTTCAAACATTTTTTTTTCATTCTGTTTTTTCACAGACGGTTTCTTTATTGTTTTTGTCTCTTTTGTTGATCCTTTATGTCTTTCAGGCACAACAGGTTTTTTTGTTTTCTCATCAAGTACTTTTGGTTCACTGCCTGCTTTCTCTGTGGGTGACTTGGCTACAGGCACTTTAGGCTGTGTCTTCTATATAAACAAAACATAAAACAATATACAAAATGCCATGAGACTCGACAATTGAAGACAAGTCATGACTCCATGATTTGATATCTAGCAGACAAATGAGTCAATGACAATATCAAGTAGATATGTAAAAGTGACTCCTGAAATGTCAAGACAAGTGACACAATGATTTGACCCCTTGAGATAATGCAAAGCAACTTTTAAAAATCTTTCAGATAAAAGTTTCAGATAAATATTTTTCCTAGTTTGTCTTGAGCATTCTTGAACCTAATATCAGCATTTTGCTAATAATTACTTATTATTTATAGAACAAGAAATCCCATTTGATTCTTGGGAAATAATTGACATGTTAACATTTTGTAATTTTAGTTCAAAACTGTAAACGAGCCAATTAAATTTTATCATAAAATATGCCTAAAGTATACCCAGGAAATTGTTCAAACAAAATAAAATAATCAGTCATTCTGAATAAAAACAAACTTATGTGTATACCAATTTAAATGAAATTGGTCCAGGCATGCCCGAGAAACAGTTGATGTTGCTTTTGTGGACAAAGATGGTTTTTAAGTCGACCAAAAAGCAATCATAACAAAAAAACAAATCAACATGCATATATATACTATTATGACCCATCTTTGTATTAAATTTGGTCAAAGTGTATCTGAAAAAATAATGTCTGGTGCATGTATAGACAATATGGATGGAAGGGAGACAAATACAAGTTCTAGTTTCTGACTACATCAATTGGGAGACTATTTTGCACTACTGTACCAGGAAAACGTATGGAGTGAAAAAAAACATGTTGTAATAATTACCTTGAGTGGTGGAAAGCCTGCACCAAGGCCAGGCAGTAGGAAAGGACTTGGTATAGCTCCTGGAGGTGGTTTCTTTAGTTTTCCCGGTTCTTGAAGGTCTAATAATGTCTTCTCTTCATCCTTTTTCTCTTTCTCATCATTATCATCATCATCATCATCATCAACTTTTAGTGGTTTAGGCTCTAAGAGGAAGAAGAAAGAACAAATTATATATTACGAGAGAACACCACCAAGCACACTTTATAATCATTAGTAGTCAGCTATGTGTCTACATTAAAGACAAGACTTAACTTGATTGTGATTGCATAACATAAATATAAGGATCTTATTTTGTATGTGTAGTGTAATACAACTGAATTTTTGAATTGCATCAAATGTGTCATATGTAGTAAATTTGTATCTATACAAATGTACATGTTACTTAAAAATATTTATAATAATTTTTTTATCTTGATTTAACTGGATAAAAAGCTTACGTGTTGAGTCTCTAAAGATGGCATCAGATAGCAACTGTACATTCATTTCATAATCTTTTGGAACATACAAACTGGAGGGTCTACTTGGTTTTCTTCGGTCTTTTAGGGTGCCTTTTTTCCTCAGATCAGCTCTTGACTTGAGCATGTCAATATCAAGGGTATTGGATCTCTGTAAGAGCAATTAGCAAATCAAAGAAAGCTTAGAAAGAACTCCCGTGTGCTGAGAGTATTGAAGACACATTAAAAATTAATTCAAAATTACTTGTACATGAGATATTGATAGAAAAGCTGAAAACTAATTATGTACATCAGGTAACTAATATGAACAGAACAGAACAAAAAAATTATGAATTATTATGCTAATTAGAGAATTAATATGAACAAATTTTAACCCAAAATTAATCAGGCCTGTCTATTGTCCTAGAGCATTTATGTACCAAATTTTATTCAAATGTGATGATCAGTAATTGAGATATCAGTGTTAATTAATTATGTTAATTAGGAGATTAATAAGCATAAATATTTACCAAAAACTAATTGGGTTTCTGCATAGTTCTCTTTAAAAGTTTCATTAAAATCCAATTTGTGGTTCTTTATATATCAGTGGAACATTATGCAAATTAGGTAATTAATATCCAATTAAAACTAATTAGGTCTCTGCATAATCCTAGAAGATCTATGTAGCAAGTCTCATTGAAATATGATGATTACTACTTAATATATCAAAAGCTGAAAATTAATTAATTATGCAAATTAGATAATTAATATGTACTCAAATATTACCCTAAAAACTATCAGGTTTGTGCAGTGTCCTATGACATCTATGTA